GAAAGAAGCTCAAAGCAGGACTGCTTCATCAGACATGGGGAAGAGTAGTGTCTCTGCACCAGTTTGAGCAAATCTTTAGGGAAAATATGATGAAATGGTTGTGAGCATCTGTACCACCTGCTACTTAGATTGTTTTATGGATTGAATTTCCATCCTGTTGCTTTAATTTTTTTGGTCACTTTGGTCAAAATCAAATGTGGATTTGACCCCATTGGCTGTTAGAAAATCGAATGAACGTTCTGAAAGCAGACTTTATAGAAAAAAATTATATTAGTGTCTGGTCAGTTTAAGACAATTGCCATAGTACTTTTTTATTAAAGCCCAATTCCAGCCTTGGAAAAAACACCCAAAGAAATGCTGCAATACTGTATGTCCGTTGTCTGTTGCAGACTCACCTCTCTGCAGTCCAGTGTTGATCCTCTTCTGGGTGGATGGACATGCCCCTTGGGGGTGCCTCATCAAGTGGCTCTGGGCTCGGGGAATGCTGTAGAGAACAGTGTTCACATCACTACACGAGGTCTGTTCTCTGCAGCATTCAGGACCTGCCCTTCGACGAGGGCAGAAGAGGAGAAAGAGAACCTATGATGTCACATGACCAGACTCTAGATCCATGCAAAAAAGGCCTGGTCTTTGTTCTGGGTGCTGTTGAAAAACTTGCTGTCTGCATACTGAACACAGGGTTGCTCGGACTCTGCCTTTCTATGAATAAAAGGCATTCTCTAATTGGCCAAGAAGCAGAGGAGGGGCGGATGACATAAATTTATTTTAATTTGGCAAAAGTATTAATTATAGCAGAACACTAGGAAAAAAAAAAAACACCCTTAGCTTCTTGCTTTTGACTAGGGGTATTGTGTAAAGGACTTTTACTCACCTGATCCCCGCTACTGCAGGCTCCCAGACCAGCACCGTACCACCCATGCTCCAGTGGTTGGAAGCCAGTGACATTATCACATACAATGCCTAGTCCATAGCCCTGCATTATATATGAGGGCGCCAAGGAAGGGATCCATGTTCAGGGAATTGGTGCTCTGTGGCTGGGAGTGAGTGGTGAACAGAGAGTCTTGTATTTGGTCACACTAGGCCATGTACATGTATTGGGACATGCTACACTGCTTATTAAACGCTGAGCTACCACTTTCAGTTTAGATTGATTATGGGATTTCACACCCAACAGAGAGTTTTATGTCGTGCAAGTAAAACAAAGATCTCCACGTATTCTGAACAGTAATAAACACTGGAAAGAAGAGAAAACCTCCAAAGTTGTGTATGCATTACTTTTTATTAGAGAAAATGTATGACTGTTTATTCCTAAATAAATATACATGTAGTTAACATAATAAAACAATACGCGTTTCTTTCTTAGTTGATGGCAAAGAAATGTTTAAGGTCCCAAAACATAAATACAAATGTTTGACTTGTACAAGTCAGGCTCAATGTGTCATTTTTAGTTTTTGCATCTCTATGTATTGTAACAAATAGTTTTTTTTAAATAACGGACTGATACGTGTGGATCTGCAAGGCTATGTGTATAACACGTCAGAACCAACACACAAACACAAGAAAGTGCATAAAAAAAAAAGAAAAAGAGTAAAGCAAGCAGCATATGCATTAAAGTGTCAAACCATTATAAGAGTCATTAAATACTGGTCAGAAGAAAAACAGCTTGTATAACAAAGAAAACGCAACAATGAAGTGCACACATTCCATGTGTATCATGACAATCTATTGAGAGGTGCACGGGTAACAGTGCTTGAGCCTAATGGTGCTTAGGTGAGGTACAAGTAGAAGGCAGGAACAAGAAAAAGTGGCAAGTGACCGGTGCAATGCTTGTGAGACGATGCTGCAAGAATGCACATCTTGCAGCAACATTTGTACACGGAAAGGCTTCTGCACACACATCAGTATCGCGGTTTGGTTTTCAACTTTGCTTAAAGTGTATCTGAACCCGAAAACAAAAAGGTCATATATTGCAGTTTACCAGTCCTTAGATGTTGCAGATTGCATTTGTTTCCCCATTTTAGTGTTTTTTCCCCCTTTATTTTTCACCTGGTGATACAATTTCTTATCCTAGGGTGACAACAATCATTCACTGTACTGTATTTATTAAATGAGCAGCGCTCACCCTTGGTTGCTTTCCTGATTTGGACTACAAAACCTCCCTTCTCCTTAAAGCAGAACTCCAGGGAATATTATTCTGAACCCTTGCAGTGCGGCTAGCCCCGCACTGCAAGGGATAAGTGCTCGTTTTTATCTAGAATCAAAAATAAAAAAAAGGACATACTCCCCTGATCCTACAAGCCGGCTTGCTCTTAAGACAGGGTCCCTTCAGCCTGTCTCCTCCTCCGATGCAGCGATGAAATGTCCCTCGGCATCCTCACATCCTATACACAGTGCATAGAATGTGATGACTCAAGGATCTTTAGACTGCTGCAGCGTAGGGAGAGAGAGCCACTAGAGACTGGTCTAACAGCAACCCGGCTTGGAGGATCGGGCTAGTATAACTGTTATTTTAAAACCTAGACAGAAATGAGCACTTAACCTTTGAGGTGCAGGGGTATCCCCACTGCAAGGGTTAAGAATAATTTTCCCTAGAGTTCCGCTTTAAAGTAGAACTGAAGCCAAACGTTTTGTTGTTCGTTTGTTTTAGTTGTGGAGAGTAAAGGAACGTTCTAACCCCTGACAGCGATTTTTTTGCTCTCTGTGTCATATTGGGGAGATTTCCCTTCACTTCCTGTCCGATCGCCACAACAGGAAGTGATAGGATATCCCTCCAAAGTGAGGAAAATCCTTGGGGGTCAGCAGAACCAGTGTCCCCTTTAAAAGATTCCCCCTCTATTCCTATTCTGGTGATTTTCCTTCATTTCCGCTGATAACCAGCACCAGGACATATAGAGAGGGTGAAAAAGTTTTGGATTGAGTTGCACTTGGATTTCATAACATAGGAAGGAAGGGTTGTGTACTTATGAGAAGATAGTTTGGATAGCAGATCACATTGTTGGAGATTTCAGTACACATAAAGTTATGGAACCACCACACCTAAGGAATGGTAAGTTGCAATTTGTGACAGTTTTCGTTCTTAAATGTATATATTCTTTAAAGAAAATCATAAGAGGAACATGGAAGCTACCGCTGTTACATTTTCCTTCAGTAGATGCTAGTTGTCTGGCTGTCATACTGGACCTTTTTGTTTCAATAATTGAAATCACTGGCCTGGAAAAAGTATGCAGATCAGAATTTCTGACTTCTCTGCGCATACTTGCCAGGTCAGTGACTCAAAAGTATTGAAGCGAGTGAGTCAGATTAACAGCCAACACAACAACAGATGGAAGCCAGCAAAAGCAGCTCAAGGATTTCTCTCATTACAGGATTACTTAAGTAGGAAAGACGGAGGCTGACATTTGTATAAAAAAAAACACAGATTCCTATGAAAGAATTGCCCCCTTTGTACTCGGCTGCTTGCTTAAAATGCATATTAGGGAAGGGGCTAAAGCTGGCCATATGCTGGTAGATTTTCGTATGAATGTTCATACAAAATAACCCGTCTGGACATTTGATAATGCCATCGGAGGCTTGACAAATGTCGTTTAAAATTTCATTCGAATTTAACATTCGATTTTTAGGAATGAATGCAGCATTCTCGAACGAAAATCACATTCATGGGTCAGAATTTTGTTCGAGAACAATTTTCCATCCTGCTCCTTCAATTTTTTTCGGGACTATGGTCAAAATAGATTATCCATTTAAAAGGAGAACTATGAGGTGAGTGAAAATCACTCAACCTCATAGTTCGAGTCGGCATGTGACAATGAAACTGTCACCCGTCGGCTCAATAAATCGGGAAGTGAGAGGACACATGCACGGCTCCCTGCAGGGATTCCCCCCCTCCGCGCTCCGATCCGCTGACTGGCGGAACGGACGGGGGAGGGGGCGGGTACAGCTGCCTCTGCCTCTAGATAGGCAGAGCCAGCTGTCAATCACGCAGCTTGGTGGATCTCGACAGTAATGTCAAGATCTGTCCGGGCTGCGGCGGTCTCAGTATATCGCGAGCTGCAGCTCGCGGTATACTGAGCTTTGGGTCACGGGAGGACGCTAGTTTGTGTCCTCCTGTGACCCTTAGGAGAACTATGGGAAAACCACTTACCTCATAGTTCTCCTTTAAACCTATTGACTATTAGAAAAATCAAACAAATGTTCACAAAATTTTTTTTTTATAAAATGCTGTTGCTGTATGGCCAGCTTTACACCTAAAGCATAGTTAGATCTTAAATACAGTACAATGGGCATTATTTGTAGTTAATAAGACCAATGGAGGGAAAAAAACGGTTTACTGAATCTATTCGGTTTACTGCTATTTTTGCGCCGTTTCCTATAGGCTCCAACTTACAAACCAGCTACCTGCAGCTGAGGTTAAAATGTCTAACTGATGATGAGGGGGGTTCTTGGATGGAACTGAACTGGATGTAAATCGCGGCACCGCTACAGGTACAAAAATATTAGAACACCGTTATCTCTATCCAGTACCTATTAGCTTTATGCATTTCAGTAGCTACTCGTTTAAAATATGTATTCATGAATTTTGTGTCTTGCTTAGAGTTCTCCTCTATTTGCTATAGGCAACTCATCCACAATTATTTCAATCTATGTTTATATAATTAGCTATAATATAACGCTGTAATATAAGATGGCTACAAACATGTGTTAGGTGGAGACTAAGGGTATTAAAAATAACCACCTCCCAGGTAATTATACCTGGCTTTTGAACTACAGTACATAAAGAACCTGCACTGTTAAGTAATAACTAGCCTACATTTCACTGCAAGTGATATGTCTGCACATTAACTGATGACATTACCAATGCATTGTATGACATTACTAAACATTCCCTTGGCATCGGTAAGAACTAAGGGCATACACCATTGCTTAATAGGCGGTTAAGGCAGATGATGGAAGCCTGTTGGATTTAAATATTATTACTAGGAGTTTCCAATGTAACACATCATATAAGTGCTTTCGGATGTCAAAGGCACTTGAAAGATTCTTTCAAGTTGCTCGTAGCAACATTATTGTCCACAATGGTGAGCGGGAACAGAGCACTCTTTAAAAGCATGCCTGAAAATGTTTATGTTATGGTTAACAAACCACGTTCCTATCAAAAATGGCTGGGAAGAAAAAAGCAAGGTGGGAAATGTCCAGCATCCTTTGTTAAATGTTCTCTAGTATCCAATCCTCATTGGAAAGGGAAGGTACAGTCAAAACAAGGTTTCCTTCAGAGTCTTCTCTGCCACCTTTATGAAGAGCACTGGCTTCTTGGTAGTACTCTTCTTCCTCATCAAAAAATCCATTCTCCATCGCGTAGGAACATTCTGCACTGGAAGCAGCCTGGCAAGCACCTTTATATTCTTGAATTGATTCATAAAGTGAATATAGCTGGCACAGGAGAGACATGTCGAGTTGTCTTAGGCCAACCTAAAAGAAAAAAAATGGAAAAACAGAAAAGCTCTTATAAAGTTGTAAGTATAAAGGCTTATGAAATAATCCTATGATCACATAAATAATGAAAGTGATGACAAGGCAAAGAATACATTATTTATGCTTTTCCACCAAATAAACACTTAAATATTTATGTTCTGCGTGCCTGGACTAGAAAGCTTAAAAACCTTCTCCTGCGGGGATGATACTGGTAGACAAAAGCAGAGACATTTTCATTTGTAACTTTCACAGCAAGTCTGTATCCTACATACAACAACAACAACATTAAAGTGGAATGCCAGGCAAACGGCCAAACACACGGCTGAAATATGTTTACGGTTTTATCTGCCAAATGTTTTTTCAAATTGTGTAGCCACTCTTGTTACATGTCCTTGTTACATTCCAAGCACACTGCAAAGCCAAGAAGCTCCGTCTACCTGGACTATTTATACGGTTCCGGAATCATCTCACTTAGAGATGACACAGAAAGCTGCATTGCTGAACCAGGAAATGAGTGGTATATGCCATGTTATGCAGTGTGGCAGAGATGACAGATCACAAGACTAGCTGTACAGAATGGCCACCCCTTTTGCAGGTAAATCAGTAAACGTGTATTTAAAGCCGACCTTCACTCTAGAAACGGTCTTTTCCTCCCTGCAACCCTCCGCAAGTTTGAAAAAGTTGATCTTTTTTACTTTACCTAGACGAAAATGACGTGTCCTGCACCCGCAGCCTGCACCCTGTCACATATATCAGAAGGCTGGCGGAACACAGACACAGAGCGGCCAGAGGGCAGACCTGGTGGTGCATAATGCGTGACCAGCTGCAAAAACTTGGAAAAGACCAGTTAGGAAGGGATAGAAAAAGAAAAACAGTTCTTTAGGAAGTGCCCCGCTTCCCTGTCCCAACAGATTTTACCCTCTCCTTCTGCAGACGTATACTTATCTTAATTTGATGCCCATGGCCTGCAGGGTTCGTTTATATCCCACACTGTAAGTCCTCTCTCTCTCTTGGCCATGTGTGTGCAGTAGAGACCCGTAGACTTCTACATGCAGCCGAGAGAGAGAGAGAAAGTAAACGTCTGATATGGGATATGAACACAAGAGGCCACCACCATCAGATTTCAGCAAGTATGCATCTGCAGAGAGGGAGGGTTGGAATCTGTTAGGTGAGGGGAGTAGGTCAAAAAAGGATTGAAACTGCACTTATTCTTTAACTGTGCTCATTTCCACTCTCAACCAAACTTTTCAAGCCCTCAAATGGCTGGCGTCATATCTGATCACATGTGTAGCATCACGGCAACTACAATCCAAATAGAGGCCAAGATGGCTCCTTCCTTGGCTGTAATAGATAAGATTATGCTTTAAAGATTGCTGGTAATTAAAAAATACATTTATGTATCAATGAAAACAGAGCTGCATTCATTTGCATCTTTTAGATCTGCCTAGAGTTCAGTTTTAAGCCAATATTTTGGCATATCTAAAGTGTATAAGGCATATTAGATGTAAAATGTGACAAAATATGAATCCTATGTTGAAACATTAGAGCATACTGTACATCTAAAATGTGAATAGTCCAACAGTGTGCAAGTTACCCAAAATGTGTTCCTGCAGTCCTACTAAAGGAATAGAGACTGTTCATGCAAAAGTAATGTACACTAAGGATAGTGAATAAAGGTGAAGCTGCATTCACTTCAACAAACCAATCATGTTCTAGCAACAATCCTGTTTTTTTGCCTACGCTTGCTTAACTTGCCCACATTTTCTATACTACCCCTGCCCTCCCTACAAATTTTAGTTTAGGATTGCTTCTGGAACTCGAACCCTTTTTTCTTTCACCAACCTAGATTCAAATTTTCTCTAAGATAGCCATTATCTCTAAAATAGTTTGGTAACATTGTTATTGGTGTCAACCCGTGCCATGATCACTACATCTTCCGAGGCTCCACTCAACAATTGATCTATTATTTAATCCACAAACTGTCAAACCCATATCTAAAAAAGGGACAGATTATTCTCTGTCCACCCAACAACAGAATCCCCTATCATTATCATCACATATGGCCTTTTCTTTAGTCCTATTCCCATTCACAATCCAGCTCATATTCCCCCGGGGTGCTAGATATGCTGCTGAAGCTCTACTACCCTACACTTGCATGCCAATTCATCCACAAAATTCATATTTATTATGCTTTGCAAGTTCGAGGCTACCCTCCCCTCTCCCTGACATTTTCACCTATGTCTTCTTTTAAATGTGACCCCGTTACATATTTCTAGGGTTTGATCTTGCACATTTCCACCCACCCATTCACTGGCCCAACCACTAGTTACCTGGCTCTTATGTAGACCTAATGGCTTTATTACCTTTTATATCGCTGACTCATTAAAGCTGGCCATACACTAGATCAGGGTGGATAAAAATAAAAAAAAAAATCGATTTTTTAAAATCCAATTTAAAAATCTGATTTTTTTAAATTTAAATCTGATTTTTTTGATTATCAAATTTATTTTAATAAAATGCTTTTGGAGTAAAAAAAAAATCTATCTAAAAGATAGTTTTCTATTTAAGATACATTAATAATTTAGTTCATTCAGCATGAACTAGAGCTTAGTTATGTAACATGAGCTTGTATATTCTGCAATATTTACATATTTGGTAAACTCATTTAATGAATCATACTCTGCAAGCTGAGATAACATGCACTGCATTGATGCATTCACACAATTTCACAGTAAGTAGCCATGAGATAAATCATAAAACAAAGTTCAGGAATAGTCCTTTATCCCATTGTTTTGCAAATCCACTCCCCTGCTGCCCGCCACATCCCTCACCTTGTTGTGTTACTGCCGCACCACCAGCCATCCCATTAAAGTGAATGGAACTGTCGGTGAGTCAACAGTGGGTCAGAGGAGCCGCTGAGGGACAGAAATGACAGTTGCTCTTTAAAAATGATGATTTAAAATCGAGTTGACTGAAATCAAGCCTTTTTACTAGAGATTTAAATCATGATTTAAATCAAATCCACCCTGCACTAGATTTCCAAATAATCGTTCATATGAAAGATCTTGCTTTACCACCCAACAATGCCATCAGACACTTGACGTATGCCGATCGAAATTTCGTTTGATTCTGGAATGAAATCTTAGAATTTAGTTTGTTTGAGAAAAAAATTTCATCCAGCCCCATGCAAGTTTTTTTGTCACTGTGGTCGAAATCAATCGTCAACTAATAGAAAGTCGAACAAACGTTCTTTCTAAAATGTAGGCAGTGAATGGCCAGCTCAAGCATGCAGATCAGTATTTTACCAGGAATTGGTTGTCTTGTACGTCGCACATCTCTGTAGATACATTTCCTGATTTTCGGTTTAGAAAAATGTAAAACCTTTCATACTGATAAAACGTTTATTAGGTGTCTCTTCTTTTCATCTGTAAGCAATATAATGAGGCTTGGGAAAAAAAAAAACCTGACAATAGTAGGGCATATCCTAGTATTTATCCTTCTGGATAAGAAAACAATTAGGTCATGTAGTCTACGGATATCCTCGAGTTTTACAGAAAGCGCCTCACTTAAACTTTTACAATGCCTGTATCCTAAATATATACAGGAACTATGCTGAGAAAATGTGCCACTTATCTCGCCACAGACACATACAAAAGGATGCCATTGTGCGTTTGTTTTTTTAATGTGCTACCTATAAGGAAAGCTTTACTGTTTGTCATTATGTCTGCTGTGTTACACCTAAGAAAAGGAAATAGCATCCCATCTATTCCCATGTGAAAAAAACAGCCATTTAGACTTTATAGAAGGGAAAGTAGGTGTTTTTCCTTTTAAAAAGCAAATATATACAAAGCTGGTTTACATTTGCGTGGTGTATTATGTTGCACGTTAAGATACATTGAGGGGAATTTGTCAAAACTGCAGCAGACAGAATCTGGAGCCGTTACCTATGGCAACCAATCAGCTTCTCTAATGGCTGCTAATGTACCTCAGCGTGTCCAAAATTGAACACAACCTTTTTTTTTTTTATAACGCGTATTGCCATGTGTTACAAAGTGCTTCAACATAGGTGCATTGAGGAAGGCGTGTTGGATTGCCGTTCAAAATAAATGGCACTGCATCGCACTTTTTCAAATGTTATTGGTGCACTTAGGCCTTGTTCACACTGCAGTATTTGAAGGTGTTTGACCCTGCAGGTCAGGTGGCTCTACACACAATGTGTACGGAGCCAAATAGCTCCCTTCAGGCATTTATTTCGGCCAGTTCTTTATGAACCAGTGGGTGGCCCTGTTGCCATCCTTCCATCAGGAAATTAAAGGAGTTGGATGTAAAATGCTGTCACTGTTGGGTAGTTTGACTGTGGCACACCCGCAGCTGTCATAATACAAAGAACACAGCGGAAGATTCGGCCATCTACGCTATTTAGCGTGGATGGTGGAATCGTTTCGGTTTTTTTTATCATTCAGCCCGCAGGTATGGTTGCCACAGGCTGACAGCATATAATTTGGTGCACAATTTATTTTCCTTGTACTCCAGTTTCCTAAACTCAAAAGTCCAAATATAATAGGGAGGGGAATGGGATCGTAAAGTGCCATGATCTATAAACGGACAAGTTGCCATAAAAGAGATTATGGATTCCGGTTTTAGAAAAATGAGGCGAAAAAAGCCAATTGCTTCTGCCACCTCCCTGCTCAGCAACAAGCTAGGTCACCAAATGCTCTAAATAGTTTGGGTTTTCATGACACCAGGGCTGGCAGAGCAAAAACAATTCTGGATTCCTGTTGTTTCCTTATATCCAAAGAGGTTTCCCTTTTCTATTTGATCTTACTCTCTGAATCAGACTGATGACATTTATCATCATATTGATCATTTTCACAAAGTCATATCACTTAGCAAAGGAGGTGTCAGGGCTAAGAGTCTAAGGAAATCTCACCGCTCCAAATCCTTAGCCACCATCAGGTCTCCCCAGGTGCTGGTCTAATAGGTGCGTCTCCACCTTG